GTACAATCGATTCTTAAAGGACGGGTTTGCCAAGAGAGATCCCATCAGATCAAAAAATATGGAAAATTCTATGGAGTGGTTAGTTAATGATGATAAGGTCGAGGGCATAAAGGATTGACTAGGACATGGTCATGGATGCTTCAAGGACATCAGCTGACCCTCCTAGGACCACTAGATCTTCTGCACAGAGGACGAAGGTGGAGGAAGAGGAGGAAGAAGAAGCAAATTCAAAAGAGACGGAGGAGGACGACCAATATGTCGAGGATGGTGACGACTCCGATGAATATGATGCAAATGCAGTTGACCCTACTTTCTCTGATGATGAATGATGAATGTTGAATAATGATTAAAAACATTGATTGAACTATTGAAGATTCTTTTGAGTCTTCAAGTATTACTTTTATTTTTGTTTTCTTCCTCTTGTTTGTGTATTGTGGATAGTGGATTTGTAGTTCCACTGGTATGGTATATGGGAACTTTGGTTTGATAATTTGGTTGGTAAATTTTAAGTTTTAATTGGGTATGGACCGACTTATGGTTATGCTTATGGAGTGTATGCTAATGTGTAGTCTACTTTGAAATCTGATGTGCCCTAAATACCTAATTCTTATATTTTATACAATATATAACTGTAGAATCGTTTTTGGATTCAACTGGGCCGCCCAGGTTCCGGGTCCCCGCCTAGGCACTGGGCGGCCTGGACCCCCCAGGCCTCCTAGGACCCACCTGACTCTTTTTGAAACACTGAACCGAAGTACAAAGGTGTGCCAAAAAAACCCCAAGCTCTTATGAACCTACAAAGAAGACTCCAAAGAGAATCCAACAAAATTGCCTGTGGCATGTGCGACTACTCCATTTTTAGCTAGTTGGTCTGCCAGGGCATTTGATATCCTCTGGGTATGCCTCCATAAGACAGTTGTATGCCTGCAAATGTGCATAATGTCGTCATAAATCGAAGCAAGGTACCAAGGGGGAGGAGCATCTCCAGCAGCCCAAGTGATAATGTTTTGGGTGTCTCCTTCAACAATCAGTGGTTGTCCCCATGCGCGGTTGAACATTTTGAGTCCTGAGAGGAGAGCTGTAGACTCAGCAAGTTGGGAGTCGGCATGGCCAATAAACTTGGAAAAAGAGGCCAGGATGTTGCCATGGTGGTCTCTGAAGACCCCAACCACTCCTACTAGTCCTGGGTTTCATAGAGAACACCCATCAAAGTTGAGTTTTGTGAGGCCTGCCTGAGGAGGGGACCAGTTGTTAGCTTATGAGACCTTATGGGAGTGGAAATGGAGGACGTCTTCCAAATTTTGTAGGAAAGTCAAAGTCGTTATGCCTTTGAATTCCTTGTGGTTAGAAGCCCAGAAAATGACCTAAGAGGTAATTTTGTGGAATAGTGTCGAAGCATCACACTTGACTCCTCGGAAGATCCTTGAGTTTCTTTCGGTCCAGATGACCCAGATCGTTGCCACTATGGAGACCTTCCATAAAAGTCTGCCTGCCTTTGGCCATGAAGAGTCCATCGAGAATTTATGGAGGGCCGGTAGGGAAGCAGGTGTTACCCAGGTTAGGCCGACAAGACAAAGACACTGACTCCACCGGTTGAGGGCAAGATTGCAATGGATAAAAAGGTAACGGTTGCTCTCTTCTTCACAGAGACACATAACACAACTATTGGGAATGGGAATTCCCCTCCGTTGGAGTTGGTCAACTATGAGAGCTTTTTCAAAGCACGCCATCCAATTGAAGGCTTGCACTTTTGGTGGGGCTATTGAAGATCACACTTTTTGTAACCATATTATGTCGGCTACATAGATCTTGTTCTACCATTCTGCTCTATCAATGGCCATATCCTCAGTAAGACCATAAGTCCCTCAATATTTTTCTCGCTACTTCCATCCATGTCCTTTTGGGCCTTTCTCTTGCCCTTTTAGAGCATTTTACTTGAACCAAGTCGAACCTCCTATCCGGTAATATATTAGGTCTATACTATACATGGCCAACCCACCTAAGTTTATTTTCCCTCATCGTATCACCTATTGAAGCCATACCTAAGTTTATTTTCCCTCAAATATATTCATTCTGAATTCTATCCTTTATTGGCTTGACACTAATCCATCTCAACATCCTTATCTCAACTACACTAATCCTATAGGTATGTTGTTTTTTGACCACCCAACATTTTATCTTATAAAGCAAAGTTGGTCTCATGGCTGTCTTGTAGAACTTCCCCTTCAACTTCATTGGTATGCGGCGATCACATAAAATTAGGGATGCACATCTCCACTTCGCCCACCAACTCTAATTCTATATTTGACATCTTCCTCAATTTCTCTATTTTCCTAGATTATCGATACAAGATATCAAAAATATTATCTTTTAGATATTTATTGGCCATCAATCTTAACTACTTCATCGTTTCTACTCCTATTATTACTAAATTTGCATTACATATATTCCGTCTTAGTCCGGCTAATTTTAAAACCTTTGGATTCTAGAGCATTCCTCCAAAGTTCTAACTTCGCTTTGATGCCACTTTTAGTCTCATCGATCAAAACTATATCATCTGCAACCTCAGTATCAAAGTTAATCTCCCCAATTTCATGGATAAGCTCCACATTGAAGGTCATATTGATTAATTGAGTTCAATACAAAATTTCTTCGAATGGAGTGAATTGCCAAAGGAGCCTAAGGTTAAACTTGTTGCAACAAAGCTCCATATGTATGTCATGAGCTAGAGGAACAAGTTCAACAACCTCGACTGCACTAAAAATTTCTGATTGGGAAACAGTGAAAAATAAGTTGAATGAAAATTTCCATGTGATGAGCAAATATTCTTTCAATACCTCCACAATCTCTAATATAATTATTAGGGGATCATTCAAGGGAAAATTATAGACTTGTGGCAGAAACAACCTCCAAGAATCTGAAGGACAAAAGGCTGCCCAAAATGTTAATGGGTTTTAACCAGTTATTGGGAATGAAGCTTTTCTACTTTGAACATGGACCTTAAGCAAGGCATTCCAAATTACTCTACAAGAGGAGAACAAATTACAATAGAGCATTGACCAAGTGATTCCTTACGCAAAAGGAGGTTTCCTACCACCTAAAATTCAAAGAAGAAAAGAAGGAACGGATCAAGTGGGTACCTATAAGGTCATTTGTTATAGGTTTAATGAAACATGACACATGCTTTTGAATGCCCAATGAGGAGGATGGAAATACACTTGCCTAAAGAAACCAATTGAATCAACGAAGAAGATTTGCATTCAAAGGGACACTTGTATGGTGATGAAAAAAGATAGTCATTGATCCAACCTTTAAGTTTTAGGGTATTTTTTGTCTTTTTTGTTGTATATAAGGCAAGTGTAAAGTTGGAAATTCAATTTGAAAGATGAAGGGCAAGGATTTAATAGTGATTAGGGTTTCTTATAGAGAAAATTACGGTTTTTTCCTATTTACAGGTGTTGGACAAGATAGATGGAGAAAAATAATTGATTTGTGGATCTTGTGATAACATCATTTTGGGGTGGTCTCCCCTAGAGATCAAAATGGTATCTTCTCGCACCTGTTCTTTTATTTTTATTTTCTTTCTCCAACTTCCCTACATCAGTACCAGTTTCTACCACTAACACACATGTTTCCATGCAACATAGACCCAATGTCAAAAAATTCCGAAAACATGAAAGCAAAGTATAAAGAGTTTCCAGCCTTAAACTTTACCTTATTTTTTTCAATCAATGATTTCCCCTAAGTTAATTGATATTATCAAATTTCATTAATTTACAGCCCCTTACAATGTTTCTTGCATACTTATTGCCCCCATTTAGCATATTATCCCAAAGGCACGTTTCCAAGCAATTGACAAATAGCTTGGCATCTTCTATATACCATTAGAAGAAAAGTCTAACAACCTTTCTAGCTTTTCAAATTTGTCATCCAACATCAATATCCTCCAAGATATCCATCTCACTTTCTACAACCATTAGAAACACTGACTGATAACTACTTTCATCACGAACCAATTGAAAACACCGACATCACTAGTATATATTCAAATCCCCTAATATGTCTCTGCCACAGCCTTTCAGCAGGGTTCCTGACCACTCACAGGCTCCATCCCCTTCAAGAGCCACAAAATGGATAGTTGAGAAATGATCAATACGGTAATAGTCCTCCCCACTTTGTAAAAGGATCCATCATATTTGGATTCAAGCTTAGTAATGACATTGTAAAAAATAAGTAAGTACTATACACGAGGAAACTCATTTGAGTCAAATTACTAAATTATGCTAAGAAACAAATTCCATAAATTTCATGCAAAAGAATCAACACAGCCAATTATTACCCAAAGACCATGCCTTACTTTTAAAACCAAGCAATTTAATTAAGGGAAAGATTTCTATGTTCCCCCTATAACATAGAGGTTCTATCCTCCCCCTTATCTAACCGTCCATTTTTTAATGGAGGGCTAAGATCGGCCCAATCACAATGTCACGTCTCTACACTGTTTTATTTTTAATATTTTTTTTATAAACTGTTTTGACACCAAATTTTGGATGTCCATTCCTCTATTAAACTCGCACTAAAGAAAAATATAAAAAAAATATTTTCAATAAAATAAAATGACCAAAATAACCCTAAAAGTTTTAAGGGGTATTTTGGTCATTATTTTTTATCGAAAAATTATTGTTAATATTTTTTATGGGTGTGCCCCAATGAGAAGATGGCACGTACCAAATTTCATATTCAGAAAATTTGTATTAAAAAAACTAAAAATAAAATACTTTGAGACGTCGGATCTAAGATCAAACGGTGAGTGGCTCTCTTGATAAAAAATGGACGGCTGGATGGTAGGGGGAGGATAGAACTTCTATGTTGTAGGGGGAACATAGAAAGCTTTCCCTTTAATTAAATGAGTTAGTGCATCCATTGGTTTCACACTAGTACATCTGCCTTGATAATGCATTGTGAGAAAGCCCATTATCTCAAGCCAAAAAATTGCTTACTCAAACAAATATCTTGTAGCAAACAAAAGCGGGGTGCCACTTCCCCACCACAGAAACTTCCATTGACCTTCCACATAGGGTGACCTGGATCAAGGAAATAAAATCCAATTCAACATTTGAACACAAGTAAATTTAAAACAATGCCCCTCTAAAACATAGATTTGTTACCTCAATCACAATAATCCTTAATATAATGCAATTTGTAAAAAATGTAACACGCAAGTTTATGTTATGCATAATACTGAGTAACTCACGAAGTAGGACGAGGTGTGGGGTTAAGCCTCTCGAGACTTGTGATTCTTTCAGTCACATCAATTTTTTGCTCATTGGTTATGCTCCCAGTAACTAAAGCTTCATAGCCTCCAGAATCCTGAAGCTGAGACAAGTGAACAAGGAAGCAGCTACCATTAGGAGCCATCTATGGAATCACTGACAAGAGAATAAATCAGAAAGTATCAACAATGAGGGAAATAAGGTCGTGCATATACAATAGTATTAGTTTTAATTGGCCAAGGGATGTAAATCTAGAGTTTGTCACAACTTTCATATCAACATGCCGAAATACCCTTCATTTCGGTAAGCATGACATGCTTTTGCTAAAATATTGCGCTGATGTACCTCAAGTGTTGGCCAGTATCATAGGCTTTTATTAGGCTAGAAATTCAATGAAAGTTCACCTGAATCGGGGAAGTTCTTGTCCCAAGTTCATTCAAACTGTTACTAAATGTATGCAAATTATAGAAATTGGAAAAAAAGGGGAGTCAAGCCTATGAATCTTGGATTTAATTTGAAGTGCACAAAGTTCAAACAATAAAAACACAAAATTTTCCAGAATCAACCTATTCAGCTGGGCCAAACCAACCTTCTTTATCTAACCAGATAGTACAGAAAAATTTTAACCACTTTTGCACGATGTTCTTAAACTCCTTGGGCCTCAGACTCGGGCCTAGCCCAAGCCAAGTAACTCGGCCAAGTAATGTACAGGGCCCACAAAGTCCCTAAAAGGCTAAAAAGAAAATTCAAATTTTGTTAAAAAATAAAATAAAATTTTAAGAGTGAAACAAAAGCAAAAAAAAATATAAAAAGTCCAAATAAGCTGAAAAAAAATAAAAAATAAAAAATGGATTTAGAAAAATATTTAAGGACAGACATTTGAGAAAAATCCAAAAGAAAAACAGAGGAAAACACAACAAGTGAATGACAAGAAAAACTCACAAATCATTGTTAAAAACATCCAAGTTAGATATATAAGTTTTATACATTGATCCCACAAATTTATACAATTTCTATGTCTTCCTTCTTATTTTTTCTAATAGGCACGAGCTCTACCCGGGTACTCGGTTCAGCAAGGGGCAGAGTCCGAGTGGACTCAGCCAAGTAGTTAAACACTGCATTCGCAAAATTCCTGGGCAAAATTCAGCAAAATTATGGCTGAAAGTTGACCTAACAGTACTATAGTAGGGCAATGAAACAGAAACGAAAGGGGAAAGGTGTGCAAAACCAAGCAATATTCTGAACTCAAAGTCCCCAAATTCAGGAAAAAAATTCTCCTAAAACTCTTGGAGAATCAAATCAATCCTCGTGGCTCATTCCGTGTCAATTTCAGGACAAATGTGATACCAAAATAGAGATTTTCAAACTTTGATTCCAGACACACGAGAAAGCCCACTAGTTTAGCCAAGCAAAATGACATTCATATCAGAGACTAATCAAAAAGAAATCGATGAAAAATCAGGAAATTTCCCCCAATTATTTCCTCACATTCAAGAACAGGGACATAACCAGCACAAATGTCATAGAATCACGGCTAAACCAAGCATAAAAACAAAATCATGGATACTATAAGCAAATTCCGCCCACTTCGGCACAAACTCTCAGGGAAAGAAAGAACAACTAAGCGTCATCCCAAAACTTACAGCAAGCATCAACGATTCTTTAGCAGCAAGTCTCTCCATTTCCTGTGCATGAAAGGCAGGAGCTCCAACAGCTGGCTCTGCAACTGCTCTAATTTTCACACCTATCCTCTTAGAACGGGTAGAAACCCTAAAACGGCAGATAGGGCCATTGCCTGGCTTCAAAGAGTTACAAACTCCAGTAAAAGAAGGGATTATATGGATAATCGCAGCCATGGCGGAAAGCAAAAACCAAGAATAGGAACAAATTTTAGAAAGGTTTTCGTCTCGCCATTACTTAAAGCCTGTGAACACCGTAAAATTCTAGCGTTTCAAGGTGAATGACAAACGACTGGTCCGTGCATTTTTTTGAGAGAAAAAGCCTGCAAAATTCCTTGGTACTTTGATTGGGGGTTAGTTTTTGCGCTCGTTAATTTAGTAAGTTCACCATCCCGTACAATAATATAGTGAAGTTTGGAAAACAAGCTGTACGTGATGGGTGTGTTACTAAAAATAAATTTTAAAAATTACTGAACTTGATAAAGGGATTGAACACATTAGATTGTCAAATTGAATGGCGTTAGATTAATCACGAAATCCGAAAAACACCTATAAGACAAATTTCAATTATATTTCGCGCTCTTTCGAGAGGGCGAGGAGAGACAATAACGGAAATGCCCATAAGGAGTGCAGGACACGTGCATGCTGATGGTGTGATTCCTTTTTATCGAGTGCAAAATCGGGGCTGCTTGTTGCTGCTCAACAGACTCACATAATCGAATGTGAAAGGAACCGGTTTCTATGCCGTCAAGCCCGCATACTTACGAATGTGGGCTTATTAATAAATCTATTTTTTATATGGATTTTTGGATTTAATGTTCAATAACATATAATTTCTAACATGGAGATCATCAATATGAATAAATTTAAAATAATAATTCTAATAAAAAAACATTTGGGCCGTTAACTTCCATTGTTTTTCAATGGAACACCTACTTGCATCCATCTTTAAGATGGATGCTTCACACTTTTCGGACCGCACAATGTGGTCTAGCCTCCATGAGTCAATTTTCTGAGCGTAAAATGTGACAGATCATGAGTCAGGGTTTAAAAAGAGGAAAAATTTTTCATGCGGGCTGGACCGCATTTCTACAGTATGCGGTCCAGAGGTATAAAGTAGGTGGTCCATCTAAAAACAAGCTTAACTAACGGTCCAAATGTTTCCTTAATATAATTATTATTTTTAATTTTCAAATAAATACTCTAAAAATTATGATTAAATTGTATTTACAAAATGATAATATATCCTTATACTCTCTTTTTTTAAGTTTCATTCGATCCAAAGTTTCAAAACATATCTTGTGGTATAGAGTTCTTGTCTTTTAACCTCTAAATCAACTTTATCTATCTTTTTAACCCAAGCAAAAATTCAAAATACATCATTTTTTATATTCCTAACTAAATCCCCTTTTTTTCTCTTCTCGTATTTATCCCCAAATCTCTCTAAAAAAATGATGTCTTTTGAAATTTTGTTTGAACTAAAAAATAGATAAAATTGGCCCAAGGGGTTAAAAGATATAATACGACATTTTTATGACCCAAAACATATTTTGAAACCTTGGCCTTGGGTATGTTGAGAAATTAAACCTAAAAAAAAAGTGTATGTCTCGATGAGTGAATTGCATAAGAATCATTGATTTAATAGCATAGTTATCGAGATTGGAGCTAATCAATTGGACCGTGGATCGGTGCCTAGGCTAGTATATATTAGTTTGACACACTGAACAAAAATGGGCAATAAAATTCATATTTTTTAATTTGTTATTCATGATTATTCTGAGGACCCTTCTTTATGCTCAGCATGTGCCCCGCTCAGCTTACGTGTCTAAGCACTACTCGTTTCTCTCCAAGTTCATCTAAAATTTATTCGAACACGCATTTAATTATTGTGAAAGGTTGCTTTATAACTAGCTCATTGAATAACATTAGTCGAATCTCCTTTAAATGATAGCAACCGTATACTCTATAGTCGAGATAGAGTTTTAGCATTAGTCTGGTGATACTAATAATAAACTAGATAAGTAGAATCGAGTTCTTTTGTTTTTGTGGTCATGTGAGTTGTCAGTCACTATAAAACGTTTGTCACATCTATTTCAGGAATCATAATAATAGCGTGATACCACTAACTCTTGTGAGTCCAATATTCTATAGCGCTTGCATTCGAGTTTTACTTGACCAAACCGGCATCCAAGTTTAATTTACTCAAACACGTAAGGGGAGGGACAGCATGTACTTATTGTTGTGTTTATTTTGTAGCAATTGATCTAAAATACATGGGGAAGTCTGACTAAGACCCAATTATTTAGTAATTATTATATGTTTTTCTCATGTCCATATATCTTAATGCCGGAATGATTGATTTTAGGATTTTTTGGGCATAAAAAAAACCTCATCTTGGTGAACTTTTGAGATGTGCCCCAATTTGATTGTTTAGGGCCTCAACCTTGTGTAAACTTTTTTTTGTTTCACATGTTTGAGCCAAACAATAGGGTTTCTATTCAAACTTGGGGAAAAAACAGAAATAAGATTTTGATAACATTTTTTTTTTTTAGCGAGAACAGTGATTTTATTGAGAAAATGAGAAATTTACGAAAGTGCTAACAAAGAAAAAAGAGAGAAAAAGAAAGAAGGGGGGGGGGGGGAAGAAAATGAGAGAGTGAGAGAGACGAGAAACAAGGAGATTTGAAAAGAAGCTATAGGGGGGGACAAAAGACCTAATTGAAAACATCGAAGACATTATTTCTCCACATGAAGACGTTGGACTAAAAATAGCAAATATTGAGTTGTTTTTCTATTCCTAAGTATGGAGATGACAACCACCCCAGCTATCCAATGTCGGCGAGGACGACACCGACGTTCCAAATCTATTTTTTAAATATGAAGACATTAATTGTCTTTGGCTCTTTGCTCACATGGGTTGGAGAATCAATTTTGGGAAAATCATAGACGTCCCTCTCGACTCAATTCTTTAGGTGAAATCAATGGTTTAAAATACGGATCGGTGACCCCGATCGGGCATCCAAAAAATTGATTCGGATCGACAAATCGACGATTCGAATCGGAAATCGGGTGAATCGGTCATAATAAAGCTTCAAAAAAATTCGAAAAATTTATTAAAATTTATTATAAATATTGTTTTTTAGGAATTCAATAAGAAATGAGGGTACTCCATTAAGAATTTTCATGTTTTTTAATGAATATGCGAATTCTTTCACAGAGCCAGCTAACATCA